CAATAAACCAACAAGAAAAATGTTCTTTATGAGGCATTACATCTACACATTTTTATGTATCCAGGATCTATTGTTACACATCTGCAGCCACCCCAATTAACAAAGCTGAAGGAGGTATGTCCCATCTGGATCCTGCCTCATACCCTCTCCATCCTCAAGACTTTGACATTCTACAAAGAATCACAGATTTATTCAGCCACAGAAGAGAAAACTTTAGTATGACTACTAGCGGGTCACTCTTTCATATATTCCATTCTTCATTGTATCCTACATTAAATCTACATTGGATACAATAGCAAAAATATAGAAAAGCATTTTTTTATTTTTTTTAATTGTGTCATGTTATTGATTCAAGGTGTGATGAATCATGTCCCTGCGTTGAGCAAGATAACTAGAATCATCAGTGGTACAAGAGGGTGTATCTGAGTTCCTCTATCATATCACCATCCTTGGTGAGTGCTCTAAATTTTTACAATTTTTAAAATTATAGGGAATCCAGGCCAACACCATTAATGTCTCCTGCACTGTTTTAAAGTCGTGACACATCCCATGTGCACTCTTCATAGAAATGAACGAGTTCCCTAATTTTAGGAGGTGTTCCAGGCAGTTTTCTGTGGAACCAGTTATCCACCTGCACCCCAGAAATAGTCAGAAATTAAGAGTTGGACCTTTCTTAACCATTTTTATTACTGTCCTGCATGGGTCCTTCCACAGCATGAAGCTATTATAGATCTCACTCTGAGGCTGTAGCACCTTCCACTTACTGCAGATACTTTTTGGTACGTATTTTTGGATTTTATTCAGGAAGCCTGAGGAACTAGACTCCAGTTCTTTCTGTACCCTTCCAGCTTTTAGAGCTTCTGAGGAGAAAATAAATAAATAAATTTTTAAAAATCATAGACTAGGTGTGGGGCGATATAAGTGTACCATAATACAATAGGAAATAGACTGGAGTCAACAGGAGTCATCCAGGCAATCAATAATCCAAGATCAATAAAATCTAAACTAGTTCTGGTGTATTCATCTGTTAAACATTAACTGAAAAAAACATAAAAAACTACATGGCCCTAGTTATGCTGCCATGGAATCTCCAGCAGGGAAGAATTACGCCCAATGCCTGAAATAATTCCTCCCTTTAACAAGTTGTTTTGGTTTTTTTTTTAATAAATACTTTATAAGTTGCTCTGACATACTCACCAGCACTTACAGCTTTGAGGGTGGAGTCAATTAAAAGATTTCTTTCCACATTCCTTAAATCTGCAGGTCTTTTCAGACAGATTACACTTCAAATGTCCTTAAGATTAACAACAGATTCCAAACTCAAGTTCATTTAAGTACCTCTTAAAATGTTCTGAACCACTGGATTGTCACTTTTTTTACTGGGCTCAATTCGTATATGAAAAGTTGAAATGACTGTTGAATGCTACCCTAATGATCTGAAGCAATAAACCCAAATGAAGTAAGTCATTGTTAGATTCACTAAATTTGATGACAAATTGTACATTTGGGGGTCCTGACCTTACCCACTTGTAATGCAGGAATCCAAGAATATGTTCCATTTACCTGAATAAATTGCTGTAGTTGTCTTAGGTCTGCCTTACAAAAGTATTTTACAGACTTTATTTAATAATTTATAACGTTTAAAATTTTCTTCCCTATTGAAGGAATGAAGGGATCTTTCTTAAAAAAAATTAGTTAGATTTCATATGACTCCATCAGTGCTTTCACTTGTCATGGCTCAGAGCACACACAGCCACTGAGCTGGCTGAGGAAGAGCAGCTGCAGACTGCCTCTACCCTAGGTTGGCAGGAGACACCAAATGACTACAGTAGACATTTTCAGTAAAAGGCTGCAGATGTCTCACCCCTTCCCCTCATGACCAAACTGAAGCTCAGACATTCTCCCCAGACTAGTTTTTCCCCCATTCATAATTTGAGGCAAGAATAGTCTATTAAGGCTGAGGATAGTCTGATCTTTGGCAGCCCAACACTGCAAGAAACGTTCCTTCTGCCATTAGTCTCCCTCTCTCTCTTTTCTTTTTTTTTAATTTTTTTTTTTTTTATTTTAAACCCTCTTCCATGTATTCAAAACTGATCTTCAACTAGGACAGGAGATGTAGGCACAATGTTGTATTAGTATGCAGACTGAAGAACTGATACAAATGTAATTAAATTTTCCTGCTTTTCTACTTACTGGTTCCTCTGTTGATCAAAAGATGGGAACATGCTTCTTGGGCCATGGAATAGCAATAAAAATTTATGGTCACTGGCTATGTACTGTGACTACCAAGTTCATCTGACAATCACTGACTGTCACAACAGAGAGGTGACATGCTCAGCATGCATCATGCTTTGTTTCTAGCTGTGCTTTTACACTTAGGATACTTGCATATTTTGAAAGCTGAGTACTCAGGTTGTGTACTGACTATAGTGTCTGCATACTTTTCTTGGACTGGTGATTTTAATTTTACTGCTTCTACTGGATCATGGAAAAAGGGATGGAAATAAGAGGATCGTCTAGACATACCCCTTCTTCAGGGAAGATTATCCATTTGCAAACAGTTTGGAGACATATTGGACAATTCTGAACACATGCTGTTTGCCATTTCTGAGTATGTACTGCCCTACTGTCTTTAAGAATCATTTAGTAACAAGTCAAACAGTTTAAGTAACAGAAGTGTGCCATATTGATGGTTAGTTGATTTTAATCAACCAACTATGTAAATCTGCCCCCAAAGATACCAGACTGGTTCTATTTTCTTTAAGATTCTTATAAATGGTCTTCTTTGTGTTTAATTCCTTTAATTGCTAGTCAATTCCCTTATCAGTCACAAAATCACTTTATTTAGGGACTTTTATCTTAAGATTTCTTTATTTTGGGAACCTTTATCTTGAACTTTGTAATTGCAATGACAGAACATAAGTGGAAACTTTGAAGCAGCTGGGCTCATGTGCCTTCAGTTCAAAGGCAAGAGAAATACTTGCCACATTACTATATATTAATGCCTTTTTCTTACATATTATGCAAAAGTAAGCATGTTAAAATTCTTTTAACAATATGACCAAGTTTGCCAGGACAAAAGCAGTAACAGATCTATTAAAGGAAGAGACATCTAAAAATATTTTCTCCATGAACAGTTTGCATTGGCAATGTTATTGGAATATCATAAAGTTTGGTTACTCTCTGCTTTAAAAGGCATTCTGCATAGAGATAGCTTGAAATAACATACAAACTAAGGATTTTCATTGTCAGAATTCAATATTCCTGCCTGCAATACTTTGTCCCCATTATATTAGATCATTCTGATCTTCAGAATCTGAGAAGAATGCAAAATAGCTAACTCTGGTTTCTCAGACTTACAGAGACTACCATTTACATAAAACCTCAAAAATTTCACTTGGGCTCAGTGTTCGCACAAAAGTCAATGTGCCTTAGACCCCAGGAAAAGTACCTAAACCCTTACAACATCTTTTAATAATTCACCTCTTTAATAGTTTCTTCTGATAAATTTTCAAGCATTTTCCATTTCTTAATTCTTCCATTTTCCATTTCAGTTAAAATGAGTAAGGGTAAAATTAGCGCAATATTGAGCAGACAATGTAGTGGCAATTCCCATGATGCTCTAATATTCAAGTATCCTGTCACCATTTTGCCCATTTCAGAGGAACTGTATGCAACTGTGAGATCCATTAATGTTATATCCAGAATTTTAAAAACCTAACTGAGAGGATTTTTTCTTCCAAGTGGCCTGAGAGAGATAAATTAACAGGATGTATTGGTTAACCCCATTATAAAACATCACAGTCACTAGAACATTAAACAACTGAGTTATTCTGGAGACTCTGATAACATCTTTGTCCCTATGCATATACTAGTCTAAGCTTTGCCTTGGTATCTTACAAATAAGCTGCATATCTAGAAATATGTCTTGCCTTACATGTTTGGGTTTTTTTCAGCTTAATTCTTCATAACCATAAGGAAAATCACATTTCCCTCTCCTTTTTTGTGACCTAAATCTGTCAAAGAACCTCAGCCCTGTGATATTTATTTCTTCTGAAAACACAAAGACAGAATTGAAGTCATGCTATTGTCAGTTATGGAATGATCACTCTCAAACTTTACCAACTGGTGCTAACTTTTAAAAGTCATCAACATTTTTCAAAAGTTTCTTCTTACTGATAGTTAAAAACAAGTTACAGCACCTCCTGCTCCCTTTTGTGGTTTTTTGTAAGTATTTAAAACTGCAGCCCTTTCACTGATCCCTGGCCTAACAACTATATAAAAGAACACTTCTGCCTCCAACATAAAGGTATTTTGCATGTGACAAAAGCTTCCACCTGTGCATCTGAGAAATTTAAGAATGGTGTTTTACTTCTCTGGATGCAAATGCATTATAACAATTAACAACAATTCCAGCTATCCCTGACTTTTAATGAAGATACAGCACAGTGGTGTGCATGCTAAGCAGAAGGAGGGATGCCCTTCTTCCCTGGGCAGTACCACTACTACGAGCCACACAGCCAGGCAGGAAAACACTTTGCTGCCAGAAACACTTGGTGCTGGCACCGGGCTGACCCTCTGAGAGGGCCAAGCACTAGCACTGGCGGTGGGACGCAGCCATTTTTCCCATGGATATTCCCCATGGAGCAGGTAGGCTCGGAGGTGCATAGGCTCAAAAGTCATCTTTCTGCAACGACCTCGAGAACGGTGCAGGGGATCCAGCACCACGCTCCTACGGCATATTCTGCCCGTCGGCTCCATCTCGCTCTTCCTCCTTCCTTGGGGCCTCAGGCCCTGACGTGACGGGTTGCAAAACTCCCCTGCACAAACACGCAAGAAGAGGCAGGAAGGGCAAAGTCCTGTGGCGTGGAAGCACAGATCTCTTTACTCTTCGTCCTGTTCGCCTGACAAGGAGGAGACACGGAGAACACGGCGTCTAACGCAAACAACAACACCGACCCCTGTCCCGCCACCCCCGCGCTTCCGCCGCGCCGCCGGCACTGCGCACGCCCGGCGCGGCCGCCGTGCCCGCATGGAGGAGGAGGAGGACGAGGATGGAGGCCAGGGAGCCGCGGGGGCTCCGGAGCGGTCCGGGCGCTTCGTGCGCTGCCTCTACGTGGTGGGATTCCTGGTGAGCGGGGAGTCGGTGGGAGGGCCGCGGTGCCTTCCCGAGCGGCCTGGGGCGGGCGGCCGCGCCTGGAGAGGGGAGACCTTTCCGCTCCAGATAAAGGCTGCTGGGTCCTGGGGTACATCGCTGCTGCTGCTCCTCGGGGAGTTGGGATGCTTGTAGCGATAGTGGTGTGTAGCGGCTGTGCTGTTTTGTCCGGGCGAACAGCCCTGCAGTTTGATACAGGGGGCGTATTTTTATCCTGTGCGTGCCATGGAATAGCGCAGCGCCTTTAAAGGCGAGTCTTGCCTTGTGCTTATAAGAGTGCTGGTCCCTGTGAAATACCCGTGCTTGACGTAAACTTATATTAAAAAAAAAAAAAAAAAAAAAAAAAAAAAAAAAAAAAAAAAAAGAAACACTGAACATGGGTTTTTCTAGAGGAAAAATCTGAGAGAATATAGACTTTAAAGATGGATCATATTCTGTATTGATTCACTAGCCCCAGGAAAGTGCCATTTGAAATTAAAAGGGATTACTTGGAAAGTAAATACAAAGTGAGTACGAATTTGCACTTTGACACGTCGAGATACTGTCTTACCTACCCTTAGGTTGGGCAGTAGAAACAACCTAGTCAGTTTGTGTCCTGGACCAAATACTCCAGGTAAAGGTGTGTTAGAACAAGCTTTGCTTCTTAACTAACTTTTACACTCTCTGGTTCTCCAGCCCTGTAATATCTTGCTGACACCGAGCCAGAGCACACACAGATGTCAACAAAGTGTCCTTTTAGAGGTGTGGAGTGTCCTGATATAATACGGAGCTGTTGCTTGTAATGCAAGCTTCCTGTAGCCAGGCAAATACAGGATATCCGTCATTCAACATAAGAAATCACACATGAAATGAGAAGTAACTACCCATAAGAGGATGGTGGTTAATGGGTCTTGCTCTACCTGCACACTTATGACAAGTCCAGTACTGCCAGGATATATTCTGAGCCTTGTTCTTTTTAATGTCTCTATTAATAACCTGGACGAGGTCACTGAACCTCCCTTGGGTTTGAGATGACACCTAAGACTGTTACTGCAGGTGTTTGGAAGTCATGTACTCTGTTTGTTAATGCTGATGTATTTAATGATGATTCTAACCTTGTAAGTCTCAATTTCAAGCATCAAAAGATAATTAATGACAGACTGTGAGAATTTAGGGATACACATTGTTACAGTTAATCAGGCTTTGGAGTAGTCCAGTTCAAGCAGTCGCTGATGAAAGGTGGTCTTGCTCCGATAGATCTTCTCCAAGGGACAGTAGATGCTGTGTCAGATTGTAGTAGTAGTGGAAGAACTACTACGTCACTGTGGTGAGCTTAACAAAAGAGAAAAAAGCAAAAGGAACAATCAGGAGATCCTTGTGCTGTTCAGGATGGGCAGTGTCCTTTTCCCTCCTCTTACAAAATGTTTTTCACAAATACTTTTCTTTTTTTCTTTCTTTTTTTTCATGTTTCTGTCTTTTCACTACATTTAAGCTATACACAGAGGTGTAAGTAGGTTTAGATCATAGCTTCTTCCCCATTGCAGTTGAGTTGAAATACTGTAGTTTTTCAAAATATACTTTCTTTGCACAAGTAAAAAGTATTTTTAGGTCATTGAAATTACAGACAACTTCAAATTTAAAATACTGGCACCAAGTACTTTTCTCGTTAAATGGGTAAAGTTTAATATATATTAAAGAAATATTTAATGTTTAAATGTGTATCTTGAGAAGGATTGTATCTGGAGGGGGGAGAGGACTGATGTTTTCCTAAGTTTAGCTCCTCCAAGAGGCAATCCTTTATCTTTCAGTTTATGTGTTTTGTAATTTTGTACATACTTGATGCACTGCAGAGGTTCCAACATACCATGTTGACCATGAAAAATTAATTTTCTTTTAACCTTGTGTTGATATGGAGGTAATTTACTTTTTTTTTTTTTGAATGTTGACTGTTATTAATCTAGGTTTATATCATCTTTGTAGAAGTTATAAAACTTTTTCTGCCTTCTTTTCAGGATTTATTTGGGGTGAGCATGGTTGTTCCTTTAATGAATCTTCATATCAAATCTCTAGGAGCAAGTCATACAGTGGCTGGAATAATAGGTGAGTTGTAGTACTTGACTGATTTACCAAAGAATAAGATAAGGCCTGGATTATGCCTTACTGCAAGTTGGACATTGTAACATAATTCTTCCTTGCTAATAGCACAATTCAAAGTAAGTAAGGACAATTTCCTAGTAAAACTGTAAGGGCAGCCATACTGTGTTAGACCCATAGACCTGTCCAAACTTGCATACTGACAGTAGCCAAAAGCACACGCATGGAAAAGAGTACACTTGGAAAGAACTAGGAAGGCTTGGAGTAACATTTGTACAGATGCTTTTCCAGCATCCAAGAATTCACAGCTCAGCAATTTAGAGAGCTAGAGGTGTTGCTTCTAATTTTATTGTTATTTACAGACTCTGCAAACAGTACTTCTGTAGCTGGTTCTCCAAAGGTTTCCAAAGCCCACGATTGCTCCCATTTTGATTAAAATCCTTGCAACTGTCTTGGCAAAATATTTTTTCACTTTAAGGAGTTTTTACAAGTAAATTCTGAAGATTAGGGGGTTTATCTTAACATATTAAGTCGTAAGGTAAGCTCTGTGGGTTTAAAGTTCTTTAAAGTACATTTTATGGTACTGTTTATGATTTGGAGTGATACAAGTATGACATTCTTTATAGCTATGTGTGGTTGACATAGGCTCTGTTATTCAGTTTTTTATTGTATTGCTTTTCTATTTTAGCACTTTTCACGAAATAATTCTGGTTCTACACTGACTTGACAGTATTATTTTAGGCAACAATTAGTTAGAAATATGTCTTCATTTCAACAGTTTGCTTTGATTTTTAACTTAAAAAAAACCTGGGATTTGAGATGTATTCCTATAAATAAGAGAGTCTGGCAGATATTTCTCTCTGCTTCTCTTCGTTCATTCTCTTCTGTCTCTAAGTGCTGATAAACTCCTAGCCTTCAAAATGACAAAGTGGTTTCTTCAAGGTATCTGTGGCCCCTTGCAGTAGGTTGAAGTGCCAAGTGGAAAATAATTAGTCCCTCCCAGTAATGAAATTCTCTCCCAGTTCTGAGAAAGCAACCATAAATGCATGTATCTGTTTTGTTGCTGTTGTATCTGTTGCTTTGTTATACAAAGCAACATCATTCTACCTTACATAGTTTTACAAGTTTTCAGCACTTTTGTTTTGTCATTCCTGAAACACTACCTTTGGTTTGTCATGCTCCCTCTTCCCATTCTTCCAGTAAATTATTCCCAGAATTTCTCTCATTTTTTTATGATTTAAAATTTTGTGTATTTTTGATTAAAAAAAAAGTTTAATTTTTAATACTGGTATTTTGTTTGTTTTAGGATCTCTCTATGGTATAATGCAACTGTTTTCCAGCACATTTGTGGTGAGTTCTAACACTACATTCCAGAGCATGTTGGTATTTCTATGGATTGTAGGGGGGAAAAAGAATGAGGCTAATAATGATGTTTCTTGGCATTTTGAAAGTGCATAAAGTGCTCTTATAAGCATTTTTGGTTGGAGGAACCAGGTTTTAGTTTGTGTGAAAAATGTTTGTTTCATTTATAGTGAATTGCCAGATTTTTCAGACTCAAACGGAATACAGTTTTTAGACAAAAATTAGAATACAGATTTAGGCTCAGATACGTTACTGAGCACGTCGCAGTCACACAGGGTTTTCTTCAGCATTGGTGCTGGTAAAGCAGTTGCCTTCAGTGCAGTAACCTATCCAAAAACATTGTGAGTCAGCCCTTCATAAGCCTGTTATCTACTTCACTTTCCATGCCTAGTGAGCAGTGCCTTGTAATTCAACATATGGTCTAAATTAATGCATTGTATCTTTGCTCTTTGTTTGGCTTTGTTTTCTATTAGCTATTGGTTTTTTGCATCCTAAGATTACCCTGGTACTCGTTTTCTAGCTTTCAGGGGAGCAGATTTCGAACATCTCATGAAAAAACTGTTTCAGGGTTTGTTACCCAGGCCATCTGGGATAATTTGCCAATCTTGTGGCATTTTCTTTGAACTGCAAGACCACTGTCTACTTAAAAAACTATTTCCTTTTTGGAATCATGCTGATTTATAAGCATGCTAAATGCAAGTTTTCTGTTTACCCTTCTCATAACTACTTCTTACCTACGCACTCAGATGACAAACTTCTCATATCTAGGATCATTCCTTTTAGGATGTTCAACAGGTGTCTAGTACACATCAACCATCAATGCAAACAAATATTTGTGGTTGGTTATAATAAGATTTTCAGAAGACCACTACTGCTAATATGTATTGCAGGACTATTTTTAAAAGGGAGAAATTGTTTTTTAAAAAGCTGTATACGTAGCATTAAGTGGAATCATAGTTTTGACAGGTGCACTGCCAACAGGGCAGAACTCTGCTGGGGACTTCCAGATTTTGAGCACTTAGGAATGTTGTGCAATAAGCTTATCAAGCTTTAATTGACAGTCCTTTGATCTCTTTTCTCAATTTAATTTAGAAGTACTGATTGTTCACTGTACATAGCTTAGTGTTATAAAAAGCTAATCTTTCTTTCTGCTTTGTAAAAGGGCTGCTGGAGTGATATAGTAGGAAGACAGTATTCCTTGCTTGCTTGTATTCTTCTCAGTGCACTGGGTTACTTCCTTCTTGGAACATCCACCACTGTGTTGCTGTTTGCCATTTCTAGAGTCCCTGTAGGTGAGTAAACACTTGGCATTTTGCAGTTTAAATTCCCTGTAGTCTTAGCTTGAGAGTTACTACAGGAAAAATCATGGTATGTGGGTGACTACATCATCACCCAGCAGCACCAACTAAACCTTAATAATGGAAAAATCTCTACAAATCAAGAATTCTCATTACTTTTTCTTGAAAATAATTTGAAATGTTGTTGTGACCTAACCCACCAGGCAGCTAAACTCCACAAAGCCACTTACTCACTCCCCCTCCCACAGCGGGATGCGGGAGACAATTGGAATTTAAGAAAGTAAAATTCATGGGTGGAATTAAAGACAGTTTAATGGGTCAGAAAAGGAAAGAAATAGTAATAATAAAAAAGAATTAGAATATACAAAGCAAGTGATACACAATCAGTTTCCCACCATTCGCTGACCAGTGCTGAGGCTGTTTCTAATCAACAACCCCCACACATTTGTATGCTGAGCACACCACCATATGATGTGGAGTCTCCATTTGGCCAGCTGGGGTCAACTGTCCTGGCTCTGTCCCCTCCCACCTTCTTGTGCACCCCAGCATACACACTGGTGGGATGGGGTGAGAGGCAGAAGAGTCCTTGACTTAAGGTAAGCACTGCTCAGCAACAACTAAAACATCATTGTGTTATCAACACTATTCCCATCCTACATCCAAGAAGAAAATTAACTCTATCCAGATGAAACCAGGATAAATGTATACTCAACAACTGTCACAACTTTTATGCCGCCTTGAATGGTTGAAATTTATGAGAACAGGAGTGCAGCAATATCTTGAAAGAGGCTGTTGTAAAATTAGTCATAGCAGGTACTCAATATACCAGGTGACTGCTGAAAATCTTGGCCTGCAATTGCGATGGAGAATGGAATGATATGTGGTTTGGGGTTTTTTAATGCTGAAAATATACCTCAAAGTGATACTAGAAAATTCGGCTGAAGTTTTAGGTCATTGCTTCAACCAAAACATTTATGTTGTACAAAAGCATGTATGTTTGCAGCACAGAAGTGAAGTTTGTGCCAGGGTTTGTAGCAGAGTTCTTAAAATAGCTGAACACCTACTGGGTATATTCTGATACAATAAGCAGTGCTATTACTAAAGGGCACTTTTATGGACCATAGTTTTAATTTAAGAACTCCTAATATTGTTTCTTAATTTAAAGACAACTTGCTAATGAATCACTTGGTTAAAATTTGATTAGATGAGTAGTAGATGTAGTACTTTTTAATCCTGACGTCACAGTGACTGTGACAGCATTGCCATGGTCAGAGGGAAGCCACATAAAAGATTGCATTATTAATATTCTTGCAGTATGCCTAACCTTCTGTGCTATTCTTTTGCCACCCACCACTTTTTCATATGAACTTGGTGTGTTACAATCTTGGCACTCTTCGTATTCAACCAAGTTGGTACAGAGTTATGTCCATAAACAGACAAACCATTTCTACTCCATCAAAGTTCCTGTTTTAGCAGCTATTTTATTCCTAGAGTGCTTCAGCACATGACTTAGTTACTTCTTTCATCAGGGCTGCAGGAGCACTCTTTGACGCCGATGCCTGAATAATTTTGATTCCTAAGTACAAATCCTTAAACAGTCAGGATTATGGTCATGGCCCAGTGTGCTGCGTGGCTCTAGCATTGAAGAATTTGTGATTAATGGGATCTTAAAAATATAAATCGTACAGATTTTGCTCATTGATATTTCTGATAGCTTCTGTCGTCTTTAATCTTTTGAACAACACATGTTTGTTATTTTGTTTATATTGTGTTGCAGGTATTTTCAAACACACGCTCTCTATCTCTAAAGCCCTGCTTTCTGACTTGGTTTCGGAGAGAGACCGCCCTTTGGTAATGGGACGCTTCAATGCAGCCTCTAGTGTGGGCTTCATTCTGGGGCCTGTGGTTGGTGGCTACCTTGCAGAGTTGGAAGGTGGCTTTTATCAAACATCCTTCATCTGTGCCTCTATCTTCCTTCTGAACGGTGGTAAGTTATATGTGACATTTTCCATCTTGGGTCCCTTCATTCAGTACTTTCGGGTTTTTATGCCATCTGTAATACCTTGAATTCGTAGTGTATTTATCATGTATGGCATAAATGTTCTGTATACTGATACTACTCTTTGAATTTGAACCTGAGTGGAAGGAATTTTGGGAATTTTGCAACAGTTAACCTCTAGGTGCTTCTCCTTTGTTTTGCATATATCCCCTTTACATTCAGACACAAATAGGAACTTTTGATGTGCCTAAAGATCAAGACTAGAACTCAGAATTTTTGCTTTAGTCTTTAGATTTGTTCATATGGTATGAGCGTGGCATTTCATTGTTTCCTTTGTTGCTTTCACTACATTAAAAATTGAACTGATACTGTGAAAACACTAGCCTTAAAGATTACAATTTTTTAAGTGAAATTATTGTCGAAGTCCTTTTTTGATTTGTTACAGTCAAATTAATGTCTTTTATGTAAAGTTGATGCAATTGAATGAAATAAAATGATTTCTTGATATACATAGGTCTTGTCTGGATGTTACCTTGGAATGAAGAAAACACTGGCAACCGGAAACATCATCAAGACAAAGGAACAAATAGTTTCGCAGCAAAAGCAAATCATGACCTGCACTTCAAATCAGCAGCTAATAGAGCTGTGACAAACAATAATGTTTTCCAGTCTCCGTGGATCCAAGTTGCAACAGTGTTGAAGAAGATTAAAGAGATTGCATGCTCTAACTTGTGGGATATATTTTTAGTGCGGTTTCTGATGTCTGTGGCTATACTGCTGTACTATAGCAATTTCACTCTGGCCTTGGAGGAGAGATTTGGAGTGAAACCACTGTTTTCTGGATACTTAACAAGCTATAGCAGTGCACTTGGAGTCCTGGCTGGTTGTCTGCTCGGACCAATAACAAGGCTCTATCAGCATAACACTTACAGAGTTCTGTTGCACTCCAGCACTTTCACCTGTATGCTGATTCTCCTGTATGCATCAGCATTGAACATATGGATGGTCATTTTGTCTTCCACATTCTTAGCCTTTTCAACTACTATAGGTCGTACTTGTATCATTGATCTTGAATTGACCATTGGTGGGAATGAGGCCAGTGGCACACTTCTAGGTGTTGGACAGTCTGTGACATCAGTGGGACGTATAATTGCCCCACTCCTTTCTGGAATTGCGCAGGAGTTCAGTCCTTGTGGCCCTCCAAGTCTAGCTGTTGGACTAGCTTTAGTAGCTATTCTGATAATGAACGCAAACAAACAAAAATACTGTAGTCATGGAAATGTGAAGTTAAAAAATCAGTAGGCACAATTTTGGATTGCATAGATGTATCTTCACCTGCCAGGCTTGTACAGTGCTTACATGATCTTTTAAGAGAGCACACTGTGTTCATGTGGAGGCAAGTATTTCTGCTGCAGGGTGCTGATCTACGGGGAAGCCGTACAACAGGTTTGTAAAAACAAAGGAGGACAATGCTGGTTTTCTGTTAACTCTAGATAAATGTTATTCTAACTGGTACCACTAGAACATTTGTAAGGGGGACCAGTGTTGCTATGTTGCTGTATTGTACTGCCTGTGATTTTTTTTTTTAAATGGATTTTTAACCCTTTTTGAGGGGGAAAAAAGAATGTCACGAAATGCACGAATCCTGCTTGTAGCTCATATTTTAAACAGTGTTTAGATTGAGGGACTGTTAAAATACAAAAATTGATTCTTATTATTTAATCAAAGGTGGATATTTGTTATTTAATCAGAAGGAGAATTTGCAATATGCTTGTTGGCCTTAATTTCTTATGCTGTGGTCAATTGCCATTTGTCTTCTGTGACAGTAGCTCAGTTAATAAGGTGTTTGCTTATGTGATTTTTTTGAAGCATACTTTGTCTACAAAACTTGCTGCACACCATGATCAGGCACTTTGGGATAGTCATCCAACCCCTGCTGATTCCTGGTCTTTCCCAGGTAACAGAACTGGGTATATGCTAACTTCGTGTATTAGAAGACCTAAAGTGGACAATTTTAAAATTATACAAGCCGATTCAGACTGAAACTGAGGCTGAATGTAAGTTTTATTGAAATTTGAACCGATGGTTTCTGTTTAGTAATAACTTCTACTGCTCAATTTTGTCATAAATATTTGTAATTATTTCCTGTACAGTTTTCCAACCTTCAGTTTAAGAATAAATTTCCCTCTTAATTCTTTTGAATGACTGTAAAGATGTGCTGGAGCAACTAGCAGTAGTTCATGGATCTTGAATAATGCATCCTCTCTTATCTCAGGCATAAGTGACATTTCAGTGACGAGAAAAAATTTTGTTTGTGTTTTAGTCATTGTTTGAGTGCATGGCTTAATTAATGAGAGGTTACTCCCAGAGCTATACTGGAAGTTTTAGCAGTCCTGTGCTATTTACTGTTCAAGCTCATATTACTTGCCACTCACCAGTGTTTGTATTTCATTTGAAACATAGGAAAAATGTATTTTTCACTGATAAGGTTCCATATGCTCTTCCTAATAATACTTAAAGAAAGTACAAAGTCAACTATATGTAATTGTTGGGTTGAGGGAGGGTTTGTTGAAAAACAATTTAGTTATCTTCTTGAACACATCTGTACAAACACTGTTGCTGCTTCAGGTGAGTCATAGATGGTGTTTTGCATTTTTTATTTTCATTTTCTTCTTTACCTTTTCCAGTGCCTGCTAGTGTTCAGATATTTGTTGAAATATTCCAGTAGCAGCACCATGGGAATATATATATATATATATATACATGTATATATGTATATATGTACATATATATATATATATATAAAACGGAATTGTTTTTATTTTATATATTGACATAATCAGTGTCTTATTAGTGCTATGATTTCAGTACATATCCTTAGAGTTCTTTATTACAATAATCTTCTCCCGAGGAACTTGAGGCATTTTCAAGTGTCTTATCTTTTCTTGCCTTGTTTGGTAGATGCCTCAAAACATTGTTGCCCTAATTTTCCTGTTTTCTTTCTTTTCATCTTTTTTTTTTCTTTACCTAAAACTTTTCAGGGACTTCTGTTTTTCATCTCTAGCAAGGGGTAAAGGAAATGAGTAGGAAAAAAGCTTCAAAAATTAATATATATGAATGATTTAGTAATTTTTCCAATACTTGCTGGTTATATGAGGTAACATTTACCTTTCTAAGGTGGTGCACTGAATAAGTCTGACTTCTGTAAACACTTATACTAACACATACAGCTGCCTGAATATTTTTTACAAAATCTTTACAACTTCACTGGTTTATACATAAGTGAAAAATGTGCTTTCCCCTGTAAGCAAATATTTTTGTTTTATTTTGAAAAATGGTGCTCCATATAAGCTAAATAAAAATGAAATTAAATACTAAAATTGAGAAATCTACAAAAGCCTGTGATCTAGGGGGCATGTTGTAATACATGTTACAGAAGATAAGCCTTTAACTTGTAGGCCAGAATGATTTCTGAGGTGCCACAGAAACACACCTTCTTTATACAGCCCCAGGATCAGAAAAGTTTCAATAATTTATTTTTTTTTAAGGATTAGAAATGAAGTGACATTCCACATGCATCATTTTGTCGTTGTGCTTTTTCCCCTCTTCCTCTGCTAAAACTACAGCACAATACAGAACTGTTCAACTCAATATGAAGTGCAGATTTTTTTTTTCTTCAAACCGTGATTCATATGATCATTTGAATCTGCCTACATTTGACATAAAAAGCACAGGAACCAAGGATTCAACCAAGAAGAACTTAGCAATTTTGGGATGAAGTGCTTAAAGTTACTGTTCCTAGTGCCTGGAGACCACATTCGTGTCCCTTGTGTTGCCTCTTAGTTGCCATAACTGTGTGAGTTCAAAGAATGATGACTCAGTGATGTTCCCAGAGATGAGATGTGACTCCCCCTTTCAAGTTGAGGGAGGAGCAGCTGCAGCTATTTTTGGCTACAGTCTAGTGGGCAAACTACTGAATTACTAGGCAGTTTCTTCAATCCAGTTGTCCTATCTGAAGACTGTAACAAAAGAGATCTGAATATGGACTAAAGGAAAAGAGTTTCTACCAGCAAATCACTGCAAATTAAGATTTTTCTCTTACTTGCTGTTACTTTATTTTGGCTTGGCTCCCTTGGGCATGTAGGAAGGGTAGGGGCATGATTTGGTTTGGGTTGTTTGGGGGGATTTTTGCTTTTTGCTTTTCAAAATTTTCACTTTGGTAAAAGTGACTTTTCTGACAGTTTTGATCAGGCCATGTTGAAGACACTACATATATAGGATATTAATTTATATCTGTAAAACAGCTGGTAGCATATGATATGCACTGATTTTGTTGCTTTTAAATGATGAAGCAAATGTATGATTTTTTTTCATGCTGGTGTAGGCTGTATACATTTGAAGAGATCCTTTATAAACATACCAGTTGTGGTGGGTTGACCCTGGCTGGACACCAGGTACCCACCAAAGGCACTGCATCACTCCCCTCCACAACTGGACAAGGGAGAGAAAATATAACAAAAGGCTCGTGAGTTTAGATAAGGACAGGGAGAGATCACAAACTGATTACTGTCATGAGCAAAACAGACTTGACTTGGGGAAATTAATTAAATTTATTATCAATCAGATCAGATCAGGATAATGAGAAGTAAAATAAATCTTAAAAACACCTTCTTCACACACACACACTCCCCTCCATTCTTCCTGCGCTTTACCTCCTCCCCTGCCACAGTGCAGGGAGCTGGGCAAGAGGGGGTTACAGTCAGTTCATCACGTTTCTGCTGCTGCTTCTTCCTCAGGGAGAGGAGTCCTTCCCCTGCTCCAGCATGGGGTCCCTCCCACAGGAGTTGTCCACAGGCTCTTCCAATGTGAGTCCTTCCCACAGACTACAGCACATGAACTGCTCCAGTGTGGGTCCATACCACATGGTGCAGTCCTTCAGGAAGAGGCTGCTCCAGCATGGGTTCTTCACAGAGTCAGAAGTACTATCAGTAAACCTGTTCAAGCATGGGCTCCTCTCTCTGTGGGTCCACAGGTCCCTGGAGCCCTCTCCAGTGCAGGTTTCTCACAGGGTCATAGCCTTCTTTTGAGCATCCACGTGCTCCAGCATAGGGCTCCTTCACAGACTGCAGGTGGATATCTGCTCCCCTGTGGACCTCCATGGGCTGCAGGGGGACACCTGCTTCACCATGGTCTTCACCACGGGCTGCAGGGGAACCTCAGCTCCGGTGCCTGCAGCCCCTCTTCCCTCTCCTTCTTCACTGACCTCGAGGTCTGCAGAATGGTTTCACATATTCTCACTCCTCTCTGGCCACAATTACTTCTGCACAATAACCTTTTTTTTTTCTGTCTTAAATGTGTTATGCCAGAGTCATTACTATCATCACTGATTGATGGCCTTGGCCAGCAGCGAGTCCATCTTGGACCCAGCTGGCATTGGCTCTGTTGGACATAGGGGAAGCTTCTGGCAGCTTCTCAGAGAAGCACCTTTATAGCCACCCTGGTACTAGAACCTTGCAATGCAAACCCAATACACCAATTCTGCAGAATTCAGTTTCTTATCTAGTTTTCTTTCCTCTAAATTTACTCAACACAGCACCATCACAAGGGTCACTACCATTCTCATTTTCTGAGAATAGGTTGATTATTGAGCAGGTAATGCAGCAACAAAACAGGACAAGGGTTGCTTATGAACTGGCGTGCTTGTTACTTCAGCCACTCTGTAGTGCCATCACATCCCTGCTGATGGGAACCTCTGTGGGTATGTGGAGGTGCTGCCAGTCCCCATTTGGTTGCGGGTGTTGTGGGATATCGTGAAGTAAATGATCCTTTATAGCTTGGTGATTTGGTGTTTGAAAACCCAAGACTTGCCGGTGCTGTTATTGCTGTAATACTGAAGATTCATTCACAAAGAACTGATCATGAATCTTGTAAGGGAGTATATTGGAGCCCGAACTTTAAGAATCAAATGACTGTGAGTGGAGGTCAGGCTGCTTTTAAAAATGAAAGAGTGTAGAGCTTGCTTTAAAGGGAAGCCCTGAAAAATTTATGTGTTAATTTACAAAGAGAAATTAATCCAAAGTTCTAATTATTTTAAATCTCAGCATCAAAGAACTTTTTTCTGAAATGTGCTTCACAATAGGAAACAGTCTTCCATCCTTTCAAATGTGTAATAGATGAAAAATAAATTAAGTAAACTGCAGTATTTAAAATTACTTTTCTTTTTTGTGGCAAAAAAAAATTACTTTTTGAAACAAAACCTGTGGCAATAAGGGTGCTGTTGTAACAAATGACAAATTTAAACCTGAGCACATGAACCACTGAAGGTCACCAGAGCAGCCATCTAACTACTGCCTTCCCTTCTGCAATTTTTGTCCCCCATATTCTGCCACGTCTCACAGGATGAAAAGGTTTCCAAAGCATGTCAGTGCTGTGTGGGAGCCATATCAGGGTTTGCCATCTTGGGAAAGGAATAATGCTAAACCAATCTCCCCCTGTTTAATAAATTGTCTGGCCATCTAATAGATAAGCCAGGAGGGAGATGAAACTCTTTGACTTGAAAATTTTAGGAGAGTCTTCATAGCCATTCATACAACAGACAATGTCAAGCACAGCTGCAGGTTTATCTTGAAAGTGTAAGTTATATCATGATCTGCTGAAAAAAGGGCTAAAAAAAGGACTGTTAGTCTTTCTAGTAATCTGGATTTAAAAAGCACCTGAATCAGGTAGTCCATGATTTCTCTCTATACTGTGTCCTAAAGTGGTTCCTCCTTCTCATGCTTGGACTTGATACCCCCTCCTCCATGTTTTCTGGCCTGAGCCTCTGACCTATTGTTGGCATGGCTGGAACTGTGTATTGCAGATGTCATGTTTTATGCATATTTACAAGGATATTTTTATAGGATCAGAGCTCTTGTAGTACAAAAAGCATTGCTCCAGCTAATTTCACAATCCTTCATCTTTTCTTCAGAGGCTGGGAAATGTTGGCAGAACTTGGAGAAATTTGGAAATGGCACATTTCTTGCAGCATCAGCTGATGTCTGGAATT